GATCTGGAGGACCTAATCTATCTGTACATACCCATCTTAACTACCAATTCGAGACACTATTCTAAAATTTACCCGCACCAGAAACTTTAGTGCATCTTAAAGTAGGAAACCGCCAAATGCCAAATGTACCATTTCTAAAAGTATACAGCGTAGATGGTATACGGTCCAAAAATTTTCTTTCGTCTAAACTAGCTACGTATGTACGGCAGCATTTCTGCCGCCACTACAACAACAATAACTTTATTTCTGTACATATTTTTTAATATTGTATATGTGCAGATTTTTATATTTAAAAACGATGTAAACATGGATGTACGTATTTATATGTACATGCATATATTTAAATATATGTAAATAAAAGTATGCTACATTTTAGATAGACCAAACGGATGGCTGCTGAAGGCTTACGCGCTTCACCTACACACCCATACTTACTGTACCTTTAGATGTATGCTATTGCATAGTAGCAAACCGTAGGTGCACATAATTACACATATTTGCGAATACACAGATATGACGGGAGAGGAGAAGGCGATTATATGAACACAGCAGATATAACTTTTGTCGCAAAAAATCACAATACTTCTTTACGGAAAACTATAGACATATTTATAATTATTTTTTTTTTGCACAAATATTTTATATTTTTTAGAAGTTATGAGTCATGTATAAGTACAAATATTGGTTAAAAAAATTTGTTTTCACTTATATCTAGTATATTTTCCCTCGACGGCCGTGGTTACACAAAGAAAAACCTACCTCAAAACACATAATTTTATTATTCGGCCATCAATACGCAAATCATTATGTTGTTCACACAAGCTACGATATGAGCATATAAATAACTTTTTTCGTTAGCCAAAAAATAAACTGTTTATATAGAGATTTCCTTTTCCGAAATTTGCAATATGTATCTAAGTTTTATATCCGATATTAGGTGGCAAAACGAAGCCAGACGTTTATTCCACAAAAATGTACGACGTCCAACGCGAAGTCGTATCGCCGTCGCGAGAATCAAAACAAAACTTTGGATTAGATTAATGATGTTTTCTCCATTTACCGCACTGAAAACTTTGTACACCAACCCCCGTAGTTACCGACGAAGCTGCCGTACGTCCAGTGTGCCTTTATATATCAAATGGAAATCGCAAATAACGACCGACCAGAAAACAGAATTGCCGTACCGAAAAAACTTACTAATTCCAAAAATAAATTTAAGAAATTAAAAAATATTAGAATATGTCAAGTATACTGCAAAAGCTAGTTTTTAAATACATACTAAATTTTTTTAACAGCAAAAAAATTAAATTTCTTTGTAAATAGCCTTTGATGAAAGACTTTCTCGTACTTGCTTACAACTCTTCCCCACGAGCAATAGCTAATGCCGACCATCTGCCACATCTATTGGCATTAAGGTTAGCAATATTTTATAGTGGAGTTCTGTAAGCAATCTCTAGTCTCTATTTGAGACATTTTGTGGTAAAATCTCAATTTGTGACTAGTTACTATTCACTTAACAGTCTCTAGCTTTAGTCTCAAAATATTGCCTCAAATTAGAGATCTGGTAGTTAGCAAGTCACAAAACCAAAAAGAACTCTTGTCTGCCATTTTGAATATACTGAGTAGAGATCATCATAGATATTAATCGATTGTCGTTTTTTTTATAATTTGTAAGCAACTCAAATACGAAAACCGTAATTACCAATAAAAAGAAAAATAGATGTTGACTTTGTTTCATTTTTAACCTTTTCGTGTTTGAGTTACTTACAAAACATAAAAAAGGACAATAGGTTAATATCTATGACGATCTATATTCAGTATATTCAAAATTGCATACAAGAATTATTTTTAGTTTTGCGACCTGCTACATATCAAGTCTCAAATTTGAGACATTATTTTGAGACTAACCTCTACCGTTAGTCTACTGTTTAGACTGCGACTGTTTAGTAACTAGTCGCAAATTGAGACATTATTTTAAAATATCTCTAACTAGAGACTGCTTACAGAATTCCGCCAGCAACAGATTTTGTGACTGTCATCTACAGAATAGCAAAATCCTCTCAAGTCACAAAAATTGTCTCTAACTTTAAATCTAAAATTTAGAGATTTGCGACTGTATCACAGTACAAGGTTAGTTTGGTAATTTTACTAGCATGTTTAGTACTTTAACTGTTTTTTAGAAGGATTACAAAAATATATGAGAGTAATGGAAAAGTACTAATTTTTCGACAAATGTAATTTTGGGAAAATATAAGGATTGACTTCTTATATGCTTCAACACTTCATTACTCTTTCGGAATGTTCATAAACGAATTAATTTAATATATAGATGCTTTTATTCATAATTCCGATTTCTTTGGGGCCGCGTTCTGCAGAAACCGTTGGAAAGAGGAAGTCCTCCAGATTCGAAAATATAAGGGGTTATAGGTATTGCGAACGCTTCATATATAAGATATTCGACTATAAAGTTCAAAAATTACGTTACATCTCACACACTTCACGAACGAACATTTTTCAAATTGATTAAATTAAACTGTAAACATATAAACAAATTCACATTTTAAACTTTTTTTAGAATTTTTAATTAAGAAATGTATATTTTAAAAATTCCTTTTTACTCTCGTAGTGAATATCACATATGTGCCAAAATTATGAAAAATGGAGCGTTGCCAGATGATAATAAGCAAATGTGAAAAATCTATTCGGAGAATCTTCTCTTTTTCGCTGAAACTCTTAATTGCTAACCTTAGTTCTTTCGCGTTTATCTTTTTTGCATTAAAAAATTAAAGAAGTGCCTATAGATTATATGAAAACCTTTTCAAAGCTTATTGATCTTTTCTTCTTTAAATTTAATATACATATAAGTAATATTATAAAATAATATTAATTACTCACCTCAGCAATTGTCCCGTCCATCGCACTTCTTAGTCGGTGGTGATGTCAGCCTTCACTCTAACGAGGACATTAACTAGCTGAGCAAGGGCATCTTCTCACTTAACGGACCGGACATTCCAGGTGCATGCCATTAAATCGTTATCCTTAATTCGTTTGCATGGTTGTCATCAAACGGGGGGTTTCTCATCCGAGGTTGGTGTTATATTTCATTGAGTGTATTTTTTTACGTGACAGGTCCCAAACCCAGAAGCCATATGTAAAATAATCGTTTTTGGCCACTCCCAAGTGAATGGCAACCAGAGGAATTTCCTATCTTGCGTGAACTTCTACACATATGCATATATGTATATTGTCTATCTATATATACATATAAGAAATTCGTGTTAGTTATACCAATTGTAACTCAAGAACGGCTGAACCGATTTGGCTGAGAATTGGTGGGGAGGTAGCTTCGAACCAGGGTAAGGATATTTTCCATCTTTTTATGTTAAAGTTAAATATAATTCATTAATACAAAAATTGTATTTCAAATCATAAGCATTTGTTCAAAAGTCATGTTTATAAGAATCATTTGATTATTTAATTACTTCAAAAGAAAAACATAACAATAATAAGAAAACATATCAATATTAGTACATATAAAACAAAGTCGCTTTTCTGTCCCCATTTCCTTTTTATACTTAAATTTTTAAAACTACGCGACCGATTTTGATGCGGTTTTATTTAATGGATAGAGTGATTGAAGAGGAAGGTTTATATGTATAATAACATCCATTAAATAGTGGGGAAATACTGTTATTTTTGAGGTTTCTAATGTGATGTCGTAAATAATTAGATTTTTTCTTCTTACATTGCAAAGGCAATACGAGATTTATCAAAATAATGTACTACATAAGCTCGTTTGAAAAGCTTCCCATCAACAGCGAATTCTTTTATCTGAGAATGTTACTGCATATTGTAAATCCGACATCGTTTGCACACCTAAGAACTGTACAATACTGTGCATGCAAAGCTATGGGGCTCTTGGAAGACGATTCTTTCTGGGAAAACACATTATCATAAGCAGCTGTTTGTATTTCAGCTAATTCGCCATAGTAGAGTTTTGTCAAGTAACTGATTTTGTTAATCTATGGAATAAATTTCAAGAAAATATGGCCAGTGATATTTTAATTCGGCGACGGCGAGAGTTAAAGTCAGATGATGTACAGAATGATCAAAACATATTTGTCGAAGCATTCGAATTGAACAAAGTAGTGCAATTACTATAGGGTAAATCGATCAAGGATTTTGGGCTTCGATGCCAGCTTATAATACTATCTCAGTTTTAACTAACAGTGCTGAATACGCTAGAGAAACATCATACGATCAAATGAGACTTTTACAAAATATAGCTCAAGATGAGCCACGATTAAACATCGATCAGAAATAAGTATTCACTGCATTACTACCAAAAATTTATAACAATGAAGGTAAAGTATTTTTCATTGATGCCCCAGTGTACCTCCTGAAAAACATTTTTGCCAGTTGAGACTCGACGAACATGGGCTGACGAAATAAACGCTTCCCTAAAAAATCCAACCTTTGGCTTAAAACTAATATGAGGGTTTCGTCATCTTCACGCGAGATGCTTCTAAAAGTTAGCAATGGAGAGTTAACACAAAGTGAGGGAAGGAGTGACCTAGAAAACCTTTGTATTTTGACAGACAACATCCAAGAGTTAGTCAACAATGTCTATCCTTACATTAATAACATAAGTTACAAGAAAATATCTTGATTTAAAGAAATAGCGGTTGATGATTCTTTCAAAGATTGATTTGCGCCGACGAAAATATATTACTCGGTCGATACTGTTCTCAATTTGGAAGAAGCTGTTAACTTTCCTACAGAATTTCTATACTCTTTGAGTGCTACAGCCAATCTGAAAACCTCATAATCGAGAGGGGCATCGACATCAGCCTTATACAGGAGCCCTGGGTTAATGAATACACCATTAAAGGGCTAAACAGCAACTATAAGCTTTCTTACATACGAAAGAAAGGTAAACCTAGGGCAGGCATTCTTATCAATAGAAGTATAAATGCATTTCTTTGTCCTAATTACAGTATATAGATATCACAGTGGTAAAGGTGGAACAGAAGGAAAATCCCTTTCGATTCGTATATACCACCGGCACTGCTCACAAGACTAGTATAGGACAACAGTGAAGAAGATGTCCTAATAGGGTGTGATGCAAACGCAAGGCACACTGTATAAACACCAGAGGTGAGTCACTCTTGCAGTATATTCTGAATAGCTACCTTTATTTTTCTAAGCTCTGATAGGTTTCCGGCATTTGAGGAAGTGCTGGACCTCACGCTATCAACAGACATAGACAGTCTCGTTGTGGGTAACTGGAGGGTATCCGATGAGCCTTCCGTGTCGGATCACTCCCGGATACTCTTCAGCATCCGCAAGAAACACAGTACTCCTCTCAAATATCGGTACCCTAAAAGAATAGTGTGGGAAAAATTTACCAGTATAGCAACAAAATGTCTTAAAAATTAAGCCAATAAGAGTATTAGTTATGCTCAGGAACTAGATTCAGAAGTAGAGAAGTTGGAAAAAATCTTAACCACCACTTTCAATAACTCCACACCCCTAACAGTTCTGAAAAAGAAAAGTCTCTTCCTTGGTGGAACAGCGAGCTCAAGAATTTGAGAACACAACTAAGGAAAGATTTGAATGAGAGTTTTAGAACCAAAATCTGGCAGCCAAATAAATTTATTATAAAAAGATGCAAAAAAGCAGTCAGGAAAGCTAAATCCGACTCATGGCGATCTTTCTGCGCATCGATATCCAAAGATCATACTAATACTGCCTACATTTGGGCGGAGGGAAATGATTGGACCTCCTCGGCAAATGAGTCTCTGAAGATACTTATTAAAACACACTTCTCCGGGATTCAGCAAACACCTTTAACCTTTATGTCAACAGAGAATTTTACATACGCACGTCAACAGACAGCATACCCGGGTAAAACCATACATTTTGTATGAAGATTAGTGTAGCGTAAGGTGAAAAGGAGGTTCGCTTCACATTTTTACATGTTTGCAGTTACATTTTTAATTTCAAAGTGGAAAGTAAAAGATTGTGTTGTGCAAAAATAATTACAAAATGGCAGATGGAGATTGGTTAGAGCCTGAATTTGAATTTGAATCTCATGAAAATATCTGGGAGAGAAGAGAGGAGTATGGGTGTCCAGAAGAGCGATGAAGCAGAGTATGATAGTGACGATGATATAGATGAAGAGCCAGTGGAACTAGGAAATTCTGCTAGTTACAGAACCACAAAACACCAGAGTAAGAGCGCACAACGTGCTAAGATCTGGAGTGAACGGGCCAAGTCGCCTAACCGATGGTAAAACTATAATGGAAACGTTCAAGCTAATAATAACAAACGAAATGTGTGACGTAATAATGCGTGAAACAAACAGAAAA